TTCTTCTAAGCTCACCGCCAGGCATAGCATAGAAGGGAATTGACACATGAAATGATTACCAAAAAACAACTCAGAAAACGATGAAGTAAGTAAGAGGTGTCAATGCTCTGTCTCCTCATGTGGGGGCCATGTAAACTGTCATCTGGAAGTGCGATGAAAAGCGAGGCACAACATGTAAGACAAGTTGAAGGTTATAATCCTGTTGCTTTCGTTTCTTTTTGCCCTCTGAGCCCGGCACCATGTTGTGGCCCAGGATCGTCGGTTCCCCGTTTACACTATAGGCATCCGTGACTTCTCACTCAAACTTTGGTGCGCGCTGTGACTTCTTAATCTCGTGTGTCACCTGTTCCATCCAGCTTGGAGGACTGCACTGCTTGAAAACAATGCTCTTGTAGCACAACAACAGTCCATGATTGCTTGGAACCCACGCACACATGAAAAGCTGCAACATGATTACTTGCAATGCTAGCCGAAGTTCTTGGCCGCTCCATGCAGGCGCATACCATCGACGGTGGCTTGGTCTTGGTAGTGCAGCGGCTTTCCTAAACTCCCGTTTTACCAACATTTTGAAGTAACCGAGGTATCTACCTCCACAAGAAACCAAGGGCTCTGCAAGCTCTCTCCTCATGTTCTTGTTGACGGACCCTGTGGGACTCAAGAATGTGGGCTGGGAGATTGGGGTGCGGTAACTTCCTTGACTTGCAAGTCTTGATATGCGCCAATTGCAAGCATTACGGGTGCTGCCTGCCAATCCTGCAGCCAAGATAAGAAGTCTGGGCATATATGACAGCTGACTATGTTTCCTGTCGAAAGGCGATGTTGAAAGCAAACCAGCTTTGGTTGCCACAACACAGGCCTGAAAGCCCCATCACCAAAGAAGCCTTCCCCTGCAGAAAGTCTGCCTCTCTCCCTGGACTTCAGGCACGTTAAGCCCCTTTTGAACATACGACATACGATATTACAGTATAATATGAAATAATATAGACTTTGGTATACTATAATGTACTATATTATAGTATATAATATGTTTGCTTTCGATTAAGACCTTTGACCATCGCTGCTGCGGCACCGATGTCAACCGCCAGCTTGCCGCTGTCCATGGCTTCTTTCAAGACCTGCGTACATAAAAACAAGCCAGGAAAGGACTTGGAAGCCTTCCACTTCAAGTTGACATGCTGCAGTCAAAGTGCACAGGACACCCGTGCAAAATGCAGCACATTTAGGACTGCAGAGACTGTCATTCGAAGGTGAAACAACCAAGCTGGTATTGAAAGGACTTCAATGACCCAGACTGTTTTACTTGCGAGTTGCAGCTCCCGCCCCGTCTCCTAGTCTGCGGTTCCGATTGCCGAGATTGCCATCATAGCAACACAATCAGGAAAGAACAAGCAAACACCTGCATCCCATGCGGGATGAGCCCAGGGAATCAGGAATGTTATTGCAAAGATGGGGTTCGGGCTTAGGCGGAAGACTTGCTGCGCATGCCATGATGAGCAAAGACGCGATGCGCGCAAACCATCACAAATCCTCAGCACTAGTTTGAACAATCATGGACAATCCCATTGCTCCCGCAACCAGATTGAAGGAAACTCTTGCAAAAACCTTGTCGTAGACGTCCTCCCTCAAACCATCTCAGGCTGTCAATGCGACTCAAGGCACTTCCTGGCTTATGCCAAGGAAGCTCACGTTTAGCGCCAAACTGAACAGGCTGCCGCCGTGGAGAGATTTTGTTGAGGCCGACTGCACCCCAATCCACACATTTTGCACCCTCCCGGCCTTCGAATCACGATCCGACTCATCCAGCATTTCCTGCACTGCACACAGTGTGGAGTTCGGGCTTGAGGATAGAATCTCCTCTGCAACTCAGCGGTTTCCAGCAAGGTTCCCATGTGTCAGAAAACATTCTCAATCGCCGGCTCAAGGTAATTTGGGTTCAAGCCAACAATTGGGGGACTTGAGGATATAAATTCTGGAGTTGGAGGCCGTGAAGAGCACTTGGTCACGTGCCTCAAGACTAGTGGGAGACCCTGACCTTTGGAGCCAAAGGGTCGTGGGGTACAGGGCATGTCTTGCTAGATGTGCACGGTGGTGTATACAAGTTTGGACTTTGTTATTGCATTCCGGAGACCATGTCTGCTATCAAAGCAACAACTGTTGCTGTCCAGAAGGACTTTAATGCCTTCAGGTGCAATTCAAACCAGCATGGCCGATCAACCGTGGAAAACGCACTCGTACACAAACGACTAGGAGCGTTACAATGGCCATAAAGACAAGGGCTGAAACACCCATTTCCAAGCGTGAGGCGTCGAGGCAGCCCCAGATTCAGGGTGTACGTTGGATTTTGAAAACACAAATTCAGCCCCGACGAGCTTCCATCCTGAAGAGCCTGTTTTTCTTGAAACTGCTCCTCTAACATCGCAAGCCATTTCCCCACACGAAAATGTCCCTATTTTAGTCGTTGTGCATGCCGATAAGGAACGTCTCCTACTAGGGGAAAGTGATTTTGACACTTGCATCGCAAAGAACGGGTTGTAGGCTGCGCAGTGATCTCAAAAAATGCGTTGACAGGTTCAGCCGTGGGGCCCGAATTATCAACCCAGTGGCCCAAAGGTGCCGCAGATCTGAAACGACGACCGCCCAAACTTGCATCTGCACTACAAAGCACTCTGACCATGCTCTCCATCCGAAACTCTGGAGAATGTGTTTGGGGTCCCGGGAGAAGCCAAGGAACCTGGGTGAAACTCTGCACCCCGGTGCCCAAAGCTCACAAGAGCTTGTCGCCACACCAAAAGTCAAACTAGTCTAGTGCGCTTTGTGTGCACAGGATTCAGCCACTCACGACAGCTACATTAACTTTGCACAAGGTAATTCGATTGGCGTGAAAATGTGCTATGGTCCACGTTGTACCTGAAAGTTTCGGGGCCGAGGATGTGGGAAGTCAGTTGAAGAAACAACCAAGGAAATTTGGAAGCTGCGCATTACAGATCTATTTTGCAAAATACACCGCGCACACAAAGGATTACACACGCACATACACACACGACCCAATTAATGCATCGCACACAAGATCCACTATCAAAAGCCACATCGGCATGACTTAGAACGCCAACAACGCCCTTTCACCATGTCCGCATCAGTCCGCATTTCAGACAACCGTATGCAAATCATCGTGCGTTGGAAAACCTAAGACCACCCCAAATCTGAAATGAGAAGGCGACAAGTACTGTAGGAATTCATCTACGTCAACAAAAAACGTCATTGCCTTCTCCAGGCTGTGCAAAATCAAATGAACAGCTTCCTTCACTGGAGGCAATGACCACTTGCCGTAGTCTTTCCCAGCTTCGATTAAGGTGGATGATGACAGGCTTGCTGATAGAAAGGGAGGTTGTCACCTAAAGGCTGCGAGAAGACTGCAGGGTGGCAGCGGTGGCGGCGGTTGCCCACAGTCCGACAATCCAGCACTCTTGACATGGAGCGCAAGATAGGGCGACCAAGCAAACGATCCAGACACTCCGAAGCCTAACAACCTACGCCGACCACCGAAGTGACGGGCACGTTCCGAGCAAACCTGAACAATTATCGCTGGCAAAGCCTAGCGATCTATAGCGCACAGGGCAGGCAAGCGGTGAGCTCAGGCAAGGCTAAATACAGCTTAAACTTGGGGCGGGGCAAGACATACTCCTGGAAATGGCGAACACAGGGTAAGAGCGCATTTGTCTGTTTGGCCGGCCACTGAGCACGCAAAACAAACTTTTCTGTGGAGCGCACAAAGGACTTGCTCCGGCCCTACCCTGACCCAGAATATGCAACAGCAAATGTAACACCTGACCAAAAAAATCCATCAGGCAAGCATGCTAAGTAAAGAAGAACAACATGTGGACGCACGCAGGGCGCGGACTTAAGTGGCAATAATATGCACAGGGCTCGCACAGGTCCCAGTGTTTTCAACAAGAATGCATAGCCAACGCACCAGCCAGCGACATAGCAGTAGAGGTCATCCAACGGATACGCGTGGTCTCTGATCGTCAAACTCTGCCCACCTGGAATTCGAACTGGGCTGGCAAGCTTTCTCTGCAAGGCTTCTGGTGGTATCAGGTAGATTGGGAGGGTATGCGAAACCGCGAAAATCAGAAAGACTAAATGAGTAGCCGTTTATTTGGTGGTCAAACCTAGTAAGATCATATTCGGTATATAATGATACCCAGAAGGAGGATGTACTACTCTTGCGCTACATTGGGTACCATAGTATCCCTAGCTGAAATACTAATCACACATGCCTATATTGTCCAGTAAGAAACTCTTCCTCCAAAATGGCATCTGCAACTTGTTGCAAGATTCGAAACTCTAGTTGCTAAAGCTGGTGATGACGAGACGCACAAGGCGATAGCAAGAAAGGCCCAACTCTGAGAAGAGTGTGTCACACTCGTGCTGCCTAAACCCTAGCATTGAAAGCATTCCTTGTCCTCTTCACCTTGTCATTACCCTGGTTGGATTTTTTTCGTACTTCTGCTTTGACTAATGAGACGAGTGCTGTCGCCAGCAGCAGGTCGAATATGACTGTAATTACCTCCGGTCCCAGTACCTATTACTATTACTACCCCGGCTACGAATTACTGCTGCTGGAACCTACCATCAGCACAACCAATGCCAACCCAATTAGCCACAGCAAATGCAACAGCCGCAGCACTACCACCACCACCACCACCACCACCACCAGCACCAGCACCACCACCAGCACCAGCACCAGCACCACCAGCACCAGCACCAGCACCAGCACCACCACCACTACCACCACCAGC